GAAAAGGAGAAAAGGGACAAGAGAATTTGTGCTTAGTCAAACTATAAGAGTTTTTGAGAGGGAGAAATAGCAAAGAGGATGATGGTGATAAAGAGTTAAAAAGAGAAGTAAAAAAAAGGAAAGGAAAAAGAGAAGATACTCTGCTGCGGCACTTTTGTAATTGTGCACTACTTCTATATGTCCATCCACACAGCAGTCATTGATTAGAGATCAAAGGTTAAAAGCTTTGGCTGGCAACTGCTGAAGTGAAGCATCTCTATCACTGAATACCTCAGACCAGATGTAAGTAAACATTGTACTCCTCTTTGACCCCTGCGGTCACTGTACACCTCCCTATAGTCAGACGGTCTTAGGCCACAGCGGAGGCTGTGCAGTCACAGGCGTTCAATACAACAGCTCACCCTGAGCCTTGACCTTCAGACCCATTACACCAATAGTCGTAAAGCTCTCACAGTAAATGTACTTCCTTTTGTCTTCAATTCATTTACTTGCAAGCACAGTCCAAAATCAACATGTTGCTCTTTGTACTGATGGTGAGTCCAAAGAGAAAGGAAAAATTTAAATAGCATCATATGACTCCTTTAAGGTGAGTGAATACTTATATGCCCATGAAACTGTATTTTGCATTATCTTTATTTTAAAAATGTTCCCCATATTTGTCACTTTCTTCACCCCTAATAAGTTTGCCTCCCCGATATTTATCCCACATGGAGGCTTGGAAAAATTTAAGGGATTAAAAGGGGCGTTTACGTTTTTGACACTTAAGTCTCTGTGTAAAGTACAAAAACACAAATTTGTAAAAACAGTGATGTCATGCGCAAGTGTATTACATGTTCACATAGTGTTTTGCCAACTACTGGATAGGGTTGTGACGGTGAGGAAATTTTCCCACCGGTTAATTGACATGTGACAACACTGGTAATACAGGTATTACCATTGGAGGGGGGGGGGCTTTCCTTCACTATTAAATGGCTTGGAAAAGCGCAGTGTGCATTTTACTTTCACTTTCAAAGTAGCGGCAATTCGGCATCAAGCAATTGTACGTTTGAGATTTCCCTCTTTTCCTCGCTTCCCTTCACATTAAAATGGCTTGTAAAAACGCAGTGAGCATTTTACTTTCAATTTCAAATTAGCAGCAATTCGGCGTTGATTCAATTCAAGCAACAACAAAATACAACATCAAAGTCATAGAACTTTTATTAACAAAACAAATAAAAATACACCATGCTATATGCCTAATATAAAATAACAAATTACTTAGGCTACACAAAGTTTAAACAGGTATATAAAACTGAAAATCAGCAAACACTGTGGAAGCAAATAAATAAGAAACAGAGAAAGTTTATTAGCAAAACATAAGAAAGCTTGGGGGCACGGCATATACACGTAGATGTAAAGTAAAATAAATAAAATATACAAAGTTTAAATAAAGTAAAAATCAGCAAACACTGTGGAACCAAATAAATAAGAAACGAATGTAAAAAAAACGTCCAAAATCACCTTAGATAAATGGCAAAATTCAAAAGCCTTTTCAAAATCCAAAATATTGCCAAACAGGTGCTTTTGCATTTCGTTTCTAAACTAAATCTTCTGCCATTGCCTTTGTCTTTCACCTCACTCTTCTTTTCAGTCAGCTCGACTCACTCTCCTCACGTGATAAATGCAATCTGACTCCTGCTGTTGATCTGTGATTCCACTTTCGTTCAGCACGCTGCATTGAGCAGCCACGTTCAGTTTTTAATAGTGTCTGTCCTCTAACTGAACTAAATGATTTTTGTTACTATAAAAAATTCTAAACGACAGTGGGGGGCAGTGCCGCGATGGGCAGATGACATAACCGTGTTGCGGCTTAACACCGGTATCACCGTAAACACCGACTCTCGCAGCAAGCCTACTACTGGACTGGCGTGCATAATACATCATTTTAATTTGTTTTCGCGCATCCTTGTGGATGGGGATCATTTTGACAACGTTGTCATCAGTACATAAAAAACTTGGAAAAACTGCATTAAGATGCTGTAAGTGGCAAAAGTTTATTGTATCAATTTTTGATCACTTACAAAATTAAAGCTAGCAGATGTGATGTCCTTACCAAAGCCAATATTTACTTACTTTTGGCATTTGCAGAGTGCTAATTTTGGACCCTGTTTAGAAATCTATAAAACACAGAAAGCTGCAATGGTCTAGATAGGAAAACATACAGAATTAATGTGATTTGGGAGACAGTGGCAAAGAATTTTTTTCCCCATGTACTACTTATGTTTACACTAAACTCTTTATTAGCAATTATTATGTAAGGTGGTGTTAAGTAACATTTGCAACCCATAACGGTAATATCAGACGATTTAAGGATTTTAAGAATTCTGTCCTTTGTTCAGGTTCCTGTCATTCAAACACTCTTTTAATGTGTGTAACGCAGCTTCTATAATAAACAAACACCCAGCAGTGGGCCTACTGTATGCATTAATTTTTAAAGCTCTGCCAATTTTGTTTATGCACTATAAACACCCCCTAAAATGCAAATGAAGGAGAAATCCACTTTCACCACCTGCTGGTGCTTCTCTGTGTAGTTTAGGGATTGGACTGCCCTCATTTACACTCAATCAATCATAAGCCCTTATTTAACTATTGAATTTATGTCGCCTAAACAGATGATGGGATCCTGACATGGTTTTGTTGCAGGCTTAAACAGAAATGAATTAGGCCCTTAACCATGTCGCATAGTGAAAAAAAGGCTAAGTTTTAAATTGTCAAATAATCCAGAGTGACAATTGAAGTAGATTGGACTATAATGTTTGTATGTGAGCATTAGCAACTCCGCTAAAACATGGTGTTTATTTTCTGTGACAGAAGTGAATTTTGTGAAAGAAAACGCTCCGGTTACTATCGTAACCTCGGTTCCCTGAGAGCGGGAACGAGACATAACGGAGAGGCATGCCCTCGCACACTGCTCCCCAGCCGCGAGTCGATGCGTCCGTCGTGACCACAACGCGTGACGTCACCAAGCCCAGGGGAACCCCCTGGCTGAAGAGATCTGGGTTGCGCCACGGCCTCAGAGCTTCGATGCAGCCGCGGGAGACCGCGATGCGCAAACGGCCCAAAGTCCACGCCGTCCAAGGGACTCGAGATTTCAACCATAATTGCAGGGGGCGCATGTGTAGTAAGCCCAGATGACATACCGCTGCAGCAGACGCCATGAGCCCCAGCAGCCTCTGAAATTCCTTCAAGTGAACAGAGATGCCCAGTCTGAAATGGCGCAGGGAAGACAATATGGCCACCGAGCGCTCCCAAGTTCCCATAACGGAGAAATATCTCCGTGATGTCTCGTGAAAGCTCGAGAGGGAACAGATTGTTTTTGGTGACAGGTGAGCTGTGTGTTGTTGGGAAAATATAGAGGTGTCTATGTACCCACATACTGCTTCGAATCAACAATTATTGTTCATTGACCATCACACGGCCTCCATCTAATAGAGATTCATCATCTTGGGGATGATGGGTAATAAGAGGGATTTCTCAATCTGTTGGACTCCTGGCATAACAAATCGATTATCCTTATGTCTCATGAATTTAGACAATGATGCCGAGATGCTCATTCTGAGTTCATTTCCATATGATGTCTGTGAATATGCCTTGTTATAAATATTCAGCAGTCATATTTAATAAATGAATAGTTCTAGTCATCAAGTCCAGGGCAACTGCCTCTCCACATGCATTCTAAACACTTTTTGGTTTGGTATATGAGTTTTAAAACATTTGAGTAAGTGAAGAGAGCAAAATATGGCACTTTAGAGGTGCTACAGCAATTTCAGATCACGTTTGGGCCACCAAGTTTTGCATCAGACTATTACTGATGGCAGTTTCATTCAGGCATTCAGTGGCATTTTGTTCTTGTGAAGTACAGTTCACGGCCTGTTCTTTCAGGTGTCTATATTGAAAGATGAATGAAATGGTGAAAAGAGCAAGGCCATTTTTCAGATACTCCTTCACTTGTTTAAACAGAAAGCTGTTAAGGGAAACCTGCGGTGCATCTTTGAACGAGGCACTTTTGCCTTTTTGAAGAAAATGCTGGAAAGGCTAGACTGAAGCTTAAATGGCCTTAAATGCAGGCTTTAACGTGTGTGATTTTTCTTAAGTGGAGGCAGGAAAAAAAATCAAATACAAGCTTCTTGTGTTATGGTCAGTCTCATATTTTGCAGTAGATGCTCGCATCAGGTTTATATATTATTATACACACTACTGTTCTCTTGTGGTCAACAAGGCTGCATTTATTTGATCAAAAATACAATAAAACAGTAATGCTGTGAAATATTGTTACAAGTTCAAATAATTGTTTATATGAAAATATATTTTCATATATTTTAAAATGCAATTAATTCCTGTGATGACAAACCTGAATTTTCAGCATTCATTACTGCAGTCTTCAATGTCACGTGATGCTTCATAAATCAATATGCATATTCTAATATTCTGATTGATACAAGCTTGCTGAATAAAGGTGCTTGTTTCATTCAAAAAAACAAGACAAACAAACAAACAAAGATAATATACTATACTGTATATGGTCAGAGTATATACAAAATAGTGGAGTCACTGAAATGTTGGCATCTGAAAATAAATGCAGATCCTAACAGTATAAGTCTGCCAAGTAAATCTCTATGGTATAAAAGTGTTGTTAGAGCCCTGGCTGGCAGAAGCCCAATACTATTCATTAACTCAGTCATGGTTTACTAGTACTGATTTCTGACTTGTGGGTGATTTATTTGATTTACATGAATTTGAAGTAAACTGTTTTATGTCTGGGAATTCACTAGTATGACATAAGTAACTTTTTTTAAAATTTCCCAAATTGTGTTATTTATTTATTTATTTATTTATTTATCTGCAATGAATGGCCCTGTGTTTGACATCATGAATTCTGGGAGCTTGTGCCACTGTACTGTTGTTGCAGGAAAAGTCCATATGTGTCATGCAGTGAATTAATTACTCTTATTTTCTCTCAGGCTGGTCCCATAACGGTGGAGCCATGTTTTGGGAATTGTGCTGCTGTGCAAACATTGCTGATGAGTCTTCCACAGGCATCTTCTGGAGTGCCTCCCCCCGGCCAGTGTGGTGAGAACTCACAATTCAACATTCACTTAACATTTTAGCTCCACGTGCAATATTAACATACAGTTCTATATTTGTTTTTATTTATTTATATATTTACATACTTATTTTTCACTAGCAAAAATCCTTGAAACACAGTTTATTAAAAAAATGCATTGGAAGGGAATCAAACCTAGGCCAAGGAATGTGGATTGAGTTTCAGCTTAAGGTGCAGTTACATAGATACATATACATAGATTTATAGCAAAAATCCCTGAAGCACAGTTGAAAGAAAACAGCATTTGCATTGGCCGGGAATCGAACCCGGGCCTCCACGTGGCAGGCAAGAATTCTACCACTGAACCACCAATGCATATGAATGAGGAATGTGGGCGGGGTTTGACTTTTAAAGGAACCTTTAACCCTTAAACAGGCAACGTGTACTACAGGATACATGTTCTTTGCCGTTTGTATGTGGCTTAGTTCAAGTTTTTCCATGGTGCGGGACATATCTTCAAACATTGCCTTAAGATGGTGAAAAAGTTGTGTATTGTTCATGCTGTTATTAAGCACATTTTCATATCCCATGAGGTCTTTACAAAATTGATGTAAGACAAATGTATAGCCACATTATTGACAATCTATAAATGTTAAGTTTAAAAAGTGAGTATATGTTAAACTGACATGTTATACTGATGTTAGTATGTTTAGATGACTGTCTTATTTTTAACAAGTGTATCTCCAAACCAAATCACACCAAATCAGCTAAAAGTCTTCAGGTATACTTAAAAATTACATGCAGGTGTGTTTGATTAGGATAGGTAATATTGGTTTAATTATAAATAGTCTTTTATTTTTTAATACCTTCAAAGGTCAGCATATCCTGTCAGATACAACTCATACATTTACATTTAATCATTTAGCAGACACTTTTATCCAAAGAGACTTACAAATGAGAACAATAGAAGCAATCAGACCAACGAGAGAACAACAGTATACAAGTGCTATGACAAGTCTCAGTTAGTCTAGCACAGCACACGTTGCTAGGTTTTTTTTATTTTTTTATTTTATTATTAAATAATAGAATGGAATAGAACAGAATAGAATAGGTAAGTGCTAGTATTAGTTGGTCAGGTGCTGGCGAAAAAGATGTGTCTTTAGATGTTTTTTGAAAATGGCTAAAGACTCAGCTGTTCGAATTGAGATCGGGAGGTCATTCCACCAGCCGGGCACAGTCCAGGAAAATGTCCGTGAGAGTGATTTTGTGTCTCTTTGGGATGGCACCACAAGGCCATCACTTGCAGAACGCAAGCTTCTGGAGGGGGCATAAGTTTGAACTAGCGAGTTTAGGTATATTGGTGCAGCACCAGTGGTGGTCTTGTAGGCAAGCATCAGTACCTTGAATTTGATGCGAGCGGCTACTGGTAGCCAGTGTAACCTGATGAGGAGAGGAGTAACGTGAGCTTTTTTTGGCTCATTGAAGACCACTCTCGCTGCTGCATTCTGGATCAGTTGCAGAGGCTTGATAGTACATGCGGGAAGGCCCGCCAAGAGAGCATTACAATAGTCCAGTCTGGAGAGAACAAGAGCTTGGACAAGAAGTTCTGTGGCTTGCTCTGACAGGAAGGGTCTAATCTTCCTAATG